TAAAATAAAGCTAAACGAATAGAAAATTTAAAAATTTTTCGGGTGGAAAATTATACCAATCAAATACACTTGAAATCATGTTCCCTGCAAAATATTTTTTAGGCAAATCTTTTCCCTGTAAAATATTTTCTTTCCACCCATTTTCCACCCTTGCAATCAAACGCAAACTAATATTTTCTTCCAATTTTTATCACTCATTCCATCTTTTATTTTGTTTATCTGCTCTTCAACCATATGAAAATGAGAAAGATACAAAAAGGGCAATAGAATTTCTCCTATTTCCTCCAAACTGGCAGAAGCAGGTTTTGCCCTTATTTTTCCTGCTGCTGCTTTCTGATCTTTTATGGTCTCTCTTTTTCCTTCCAGTCAAAAGATTGAAAATCCTTTATTCCATCTGGGATTTAACTTGCCAGATTTGACCAATTTGTCTTCACTTTTTATTTTTATCATAGGTGGCTCTGGTTATTGTAAATATGGGTGGAGCAAGTATTCCTCTCCGTCTGGGCGTTCGGCAACATTTTTGGTGAGTTTCTGTTTGTTGTTAACAATGCTGTGGTTTCTGACCAAAACTGGTGTCTTCAATCTTTAATTCAATTTGAAGTTCTTTCAAAATGCAGGAATTTGGAAACATCGAGTCTCCGATGTCTTCTAGACTTAGAAATTTCTTTTCAACAATTTGCGGCAGGTTTATCTTTCTATAACTATCACCACCATCTTCTAATATTTCGTAGTTATTATAAAATTCGCAGTTATTGATCTGTTTTCTGAATGATGCTGCGTTTAGTTTCCTGCATCTTTATGTATATTCAACTACAATCTAGATTTTCCTTTGAGAATTTCAAAGGCCTATTTCTAGTGTTTTGATAATTCATATTTAAATTACCTCCCTCAAGAATCTGCATAAGTTCGCACAGCTCGGTGATTTGCTAATATAGTGAGGTTGATCATGAAACGTAGAGCCTAATTAACTTCGATATTGTGTTTTGTTATATTCCATTGACACTTTCAGGTACCTTCCTTCTCTGTTTCTTTGTGAATTACTTGGACTCTTGTGATATGCAGGATGCAGGTGAAAACATCTGCGCAACCTATCATTGTGTCAGTACCACTTTGCCATTATGATGGTTAGCTTCAACTTCATATACTCTTGACTTTCATGTGTACCATTGTAATTTTCTCAAATGTTACTTTTGTAGATTGTAAACTTATTGTCCAATATATGGTGCTTTCAGAATAATCAATTTTATTGAAATAATTTCCACTTATTGGCTCTTTATTTTGAGACTTTTGAAACATTAAATTTGTTTCACTTTTATGATCCTTTTGACTGTTTTCAATCATATATAAGTCCGTGATTTGCATCCCAAAGATGGAAGTTATAGAACTAAGCGAGGATTTTGGTTAATTAATTTTTACAACATATAAGAAAGAAAATTTCCAATTCTCAACTGAACTTTTGTGCCTTTTACTTTTGGCCAAAAATCTGTTTTGACAGTTTGGTTGATCAGTTATGAATTTTACATGGAGTGAAATTTGTTTCTCTCCGTTATTATTATGATTATGTTTCAGATACCGAGTCTGCAAAAGGTTCCAGGAGACAGCTAAAGGAAGCCATCTACTCTGCATTATTTGATATGAATGTTCCAGCTGTTTGTGCCATCAATCAGGTAGTGTCTATATGTCACTTTCTTAATAAGCTCTGGTGGAATCATTGCAGTAGCATTCCTGAAAGCTAAAAATTGAATTGCATCTTAACAAGGAATTACCAATCTTTTGAATTACTATTTTGTGACCATGAAAATACCCATATTTGCTTGAACAATATCATGAGCAACATTAATGTCATGATCTGTGGCATATCTCCTTTTCGGAAACATCTCTCATTGAGCTGGTTCTTCTATGTGCCTATTTTTGTATAAATTTGTGTTGAATAAAGCTAAAAAAACTTAACAAATGCTGTGTGGTTAGCTTGATTGCTTGCAAAATCCAGAACCAATGCTATTGGGAAATTTCAGCTGAGTTTTCAAACTCAATGTTTCCGAAGTTTTATGAGCAAACTATTATTGCATATAAACATTATTAGTGCTTAAGTTCAAATGATAGGACTTCAACCTCCTACAATTTAAAATAAATGTGAATTTGATCAATTGTCTTTGTAAATTGACAACATGATTTTTTTTGCTGTGTTGTAATGAATTACCTCATGGTTTCTTTTGAGTTAGTGCAGGCAACTTTAGCTTTATTTGCGGCAAGACACACTTCAGGAATTGTTGTGAATATTGGTTTCCATCAAACTTCTATCGTTCCGAGTAAGTTCTTTCTTCTTGATGCTATACTTGTTTTTTAGAAGTATTTCACGTGCTTTGGTAGACTTAAATCGTAATTAGTTTCTCTTTATATTAAGTTCATATCCAACAAGGATAATCGCAATGTAATCAAGTATTTCTACATATAGGGTGTGTTTGAGCCACATTATTTTGGAAGAATGTATTTTTCAATAGTAGATTGATGGTGAATGTGTTGTTGAAAAAGAAGGAAAAATTATTAATGTGATGGAAAATATTATTTTACCGAAAAATGTGTGGTTGAAAATGAAAATTGATTTACTGTAGAAAATAAGAATCTGTACCTAACAGGCCCTTAAATATAAATAATTTTTATAAGCTTTTGAATCAAATCAAAGGCCTCACTTCACCTAATTATAAAATTCTAAATGTCACATATTCAATGAGAATACGAATCACAAGCCTATGAACTTCTCGAATTTAGCCTTTTGGAAGAATGTATTTTAAAATAATAAATTGGTAAATAATGTGTGATTGAAAAAAAAAAGTTATTGATATGATGGAAAATATTATTTTATTGAAAAATGTGTGGTTGAAAATGAGTAGAAGAATGAGAATGATAATTTTAATGTTGCTCAAACAGGGGCATATTATGTTTTCTCTTCTCATGAGCAACTCAACAAGCATGGGGAGATATATTTTGCCTGTTTCCATTTTTCATGTTTTTCTACTAACATAATAGATTCACACCTTTCAAGTTCATGTTTCCTAATTGAGCACCCAAGGATTAACAAAGACTCTTAACTGTTTGGTTTTTCTGTTTTGACAGTTTTACATGGTAAAATTATGCACAAGGTGGGTGTGGAAGTCATAGGAATTGGAGCTTTGAAAATTACGGGATTCCTCAAGGAGCAGATGCAACAGAATAATGTTAATTTTCAATCACTCTATACTGTGCGCACCTTAAAAGAGGTAAATATCCATTTTCCTTTTCTGTAAACCACATTTACCATGCTCCTTTTTGTTGGCTATATTCTCCCTGGGATTTGAGGAGAAGGGTAGGAAGAGAAGGGTTTGTGTGGTTATTTGACCTGATTAGGCTTGTGTATCTAAGCTGTAGAATCTTGGTTGGCTATGACCCATTGTTGTCTCATATCTCTGGTGAAGTCATGACTTGTTAAATCTTTCTTCCAAACGTATTCTGCTTGGAGGGTGTCAGTGTGGGAGAAATGATTCTCAAAGACGGCTGTGTGATTTATTTTTATTATTGTACTAATTCGTTGTAGACTCAGATACTCTTGGTTATGTTGACTCACAGAACCTATGCTATGTCGCTCTTGATTACGAAGCTGAACTTTCCAAAGATACACAAGCATCTTTTCGAGTTCCATCAGAAGGTTGGATCACACTTTCAAAGGAACGGTTTCAAACAGGAGAGATGTTGTTCCGGCCTCGCATTGCAGGCATGTATGTACATGTCTCCTTATTCTGGAACTTTTAGGATTTGGTGAAGCAATTTCCTGTAGTATTTGTTCGTCTAGATATATTTAGAAATAAATGGTAGTTTATCATTGACCACCTGAATAAGATTATGTTAAAATACATTTAGGGTAATACCTTCAGATTCTGGATAATATCTATTCAGGAGACTTCATGTTAATAATTGGTAAAAAGTTTATCAACTCAACTTTGTGGATACCTGTTTATTGCTTTTAGCTCGTTTATATCATGGTTAATTTGTATATCCTGGTCTTTTTACAGGCGGGCAATGGCTTTACAACAGGCAGTGGCACTTTGCATGGATCACTGCCAAGATGCCGAGTTAACAGGTGACAACAAGTGGTACAAAACTGTGGTGTTGGCTGGGGGCAGTGCATGTTTACCAGGATTATCAGGTCTGAGCTGCTTTTTTCAACTAATTTGTTTGTAATTTGTTGATGGAAGTCCATAAAAGTCTATTTTGCTAGATTAGAAAGAAAGAAGAATCTATAAGAATCTCAAATAATGATAACAACGAACGATATTTTCAATTAGATGCATCTAATTTGTGGTTGGAAGTTGTTGACATCATTCATTGCTTTAACAGAAAGATTGGAGAAAGAACTCTGTGGATATCTCCCAGCATCTATGTCTAGTGGAATCAGGGTTATTCCACCTCCGTATGGCGTAGATTCTGCATGGTTTGGAGCAAAGCTTGTTAGCAATGTATGCTACTGCACACTATGCTGAGTACTCCATTTCAATCTTGATGCTTAATGTAGTGGTTGATAAATTAATACAGTGGTAGGCTTTAGGCTATTCTTTAGTTTAGCTTTGGTCTAGTTCTAAACTAAAGTACCATGAAAATGTTTTGAACTTGTGTCCATCTACGGAAGATTGTATAAAGAAGAAGATTTCTCAAAAACTGGGAAACCTCATCAAATCAACTTGAATTGTAGCTGCTTGTGTAGTCTAACCATTTCATCATCTAATTTTCTTTTGTTTCTACAGTTGAGCACCTTTACCGAATCTTGGTGCATGACAAAAAAGCAATTTCGACATTGGTCCAGACGCAAGCAAATGTGGTGAAAGCTTTTCCCTTATCTGCCGTAGTAGACTAAGTTGCAAAAGCTGATGAAACAAAGTTCTTTGATGCCATTCATAAATATTCTCTATTATTATATAATATATTCGAAAACTTTATCATATAAAGATGTAGTTCAATTCTTTTACTAGAGTTATTATGTCATGGATAAGTGCAAATAAAGGCCTTTATAGATAAAACTGTTTGCTGTTATTGCAGATTAATAAAGGTTAATACATCAGTTTTTCTTGCTCAGTTGTTAAGAATCTTGGGAGTTATTGCAGGGATTTTACTATTCGTACTGGGGGGTGTACAACCCCTCTACCGGCCCCCTCACATGAGGGGGCCAGTAGGGGGGTTGTACACCCCCCGGTACGAATAGTGCGGTCCTTATTGCAGATAAATTTAACTTCTCATACCATTAAAGTAAAAGAATCCAAGGGACAAACGCAAAAACTTCACATAAATTGCAGCAACACAAGAAAAGCTGCTACAAGAATCATCCCTCTGAATGGTTTACTTACCGTCCAACATCCCTTAGATTTCTCTGATTGTGATGCTGATGGTGGTAGTGCAGGGCATTCGATCCCTTGCTTCCCTTCCTTGCATTCACTTGCAAATAAGCCCGGTGGATACTTCCCCTCAAGGTTAATGTAGTTGAACATGATCGAGGCACACTCGTTTGTTAAATCGTTTATATCATCAGCAAACTGACAAGCAAAGTCTTTGAGAGCAGGACAACAGAGGCTGGGTAGGTAGCGCGGTCCCTTGCATTTGCTGGTGATGATAGTGTAGTTCTGGAACTCAAAGTTAACTGGGCAAGCTGTGAACCAAAGGTAAAATATTCAATGAACATTTCTTTCAAAACCCGACTTTCAGATGATGATGCAATCTTAAGAAACCTCTACGAAATTAGAACCGTGTTTCCACATAATATGGCCTGGAAGGTCAAGGTGACAATGAAAAATCCGAGAGTCCAGATATACTAGGCCAATAATCTTTTAAGTGTGGCTCTGCACAACAGCTTCTAGACTGCATTAAACAACCTTTACACAGTAAACAATTTTTCTCGGTTCGAAAAACCAAGAGAATCGAACTGAAACTTTTTCAAATTCGATAGTGTTGGTGTATCTGAAACTTTTTCGAACTTTTTCTCACTCACTCTTGGTGTACTCACTTTTACACTCCTCTCACATAGTGGGTCATGCGATTATTTTATTTATGGCTGGACTCACCCATGTTGTGAGAGGAGTGTCAACAATGCTGTACACTCTGAGTGTACATGTAGCATCTCTCATTTGAAGGTAAAGTTTATGTATGTTGGTAAACAACAAAGGATGTGTCTTAGCATGTCAGAACTGTCCACTAGGAGAGGGTCTGCATTCCATTTTACACGATAGACACTCTTAACAAAACTACAAGAAATATAAAAAGAATGTGAAAGAAACTATGCTGGGAGTTTTGCCTCTTTGAGAAGCATAGAAGAAAATATCATAATTAATATTTTCTAATTCGTTAAAACTCTTTAAGCACTTGAAAACTATTTGTCACAAATGAACTCATCAAGGATATTGTGATTGAAAGCAAGCCATACATGAAAGTTTAACCCCAAAATTGACACGACTAAAATTGCTGCAAAAGAATTAGTTTAATTGGATCATCATGGAAAACCCGTTTTGGATCAAACAACAACATGAAAATACTTCATATAATCGAATCCAAGTTCATTAGTAAAACATCTTGTTGGCAACAAGCACTAAGAAAACATAGTAAATTCATGGAAATTTCTTGAGAAAAATTAAAAATTATTATCATGGAGTTCGAAATTATACCACAAAACATAGAACCTCCAATTAAAAAGGTTCTAAGGAAGAGAAATTCACGATAAATTAGGGAGACAAAAAGGAAGAATTAATGAAAAAACATACGCTTTTTAGCCTGAAGGAGGTTCCTTCCAGTTGAACCCGATGATCCAAAAATAGAATCTGCAACATTAACAACAAACCAAAAAAATTCGTTAAAAAGCTATACACACACAGAGATATATAGATTTAGATATTTATATAGAGCGAGAAACCTGAAAAGAAGGTAGAAGCAGAGAGGCCAGCGAAGAGGGAGAGAAATACAGCCAGAATCAAACAACACTTGAAATTACTCAACCCCATAATTTTTCTGATCTAATCAATCAATTTCTATCTCTAAAATTAAAATTCGTACACATAAGCAATTCAATCACTAATATCTGCAAAAAAAAATAAATTGCAGAGACTCTCGCCGGAGTTCAATTCCTCTAAATCCCCTGCAGATCTGTATTTTTCTACTTCAAGTATGTACCAATCCCACAAGGGTTCAACACAAATACACAATGTGGTTCAATATATAATAGAAATATGAGCTGGAAACAGATACAGATGGAGTGCCGATAGCACGGTGCCAAGTCTCCACGCGGTGAAACAAATTTTATAACCTGAATAAAATTATCACTATAAAATAAAGTCAATCGAAAAATTAAAATTAAAATTTTTCGGGTAAAAAATTATATCAATCAAACACACTTAATTAACAATTTCATGCAAAATAATTTCTAGACAATTACTTTATCTGAAATTCATTTTCTTTCCACCTATTTTTCACCCTTGCAATCAAACTGATCTCCTTAATTGAAACAAAAATACAGCCTATATTACCTTACATAAATATTTTTTAATTATTAATTTTTTGTTAAATATTATTTTCTTTAAAGGATGATATTTTCCTATCATAAACTCTTAACATCAAATAAATAAAAATTAATTCTACTAATTTTATTGAAAGTACTCTTTATATTTTACTCTTTTAATTTTATAAAAAGAAACAAAAACTCTTAATTGTTATCTTCTAATCGACAGTTTTCTTCAGTGATTTTTTTTAACAATCAATTAAAATATTTTTTAATTAGTAGTTGTATTATTCATTTAAGGTTGAAATAATATTCCAACTTAAAATTTTTAACATACCATAGTCATTGATAATTTTCAATCCATTGATCCTGTATATTAATTTAAGGGAACAATACATAAATAAAGTATTTAAGTATCACCATTTCAAAATTAAGGTTTGAGGTTTTAAATTTCAAAAATTAGGTTTTCATTAAAATTTATTTATAATTTAATTAATTAATTATATATTTAATTGATTAAATATATTAAGATCACAAATCTATGCAATTTGGTCACAAATTAACTACTTAATTAGTCACAAATTATTTTTCGATCATGAATCAAAATTTTTATATGTGTTAAACTATTTTACGGTCACAATTCAAAAATATTATAGGTCACAGTTTATTCATCGGTCACAAATTAAAAATTTAAAAGTCACAATTTATTTATCGGTCACAAATCATAAATATTAGAAGTCACAACTTATTATAGCAGTCACAAATTATCAAATTATGGTCACAAATTAACAATTTTTTAGGTCGCATATTATTTTTTGGTCACAATTTATTTTTTTCCTTGGTCACATATTATATATTGGTTACAGATTAACCAATTTAATGGTCACAGTCAAGCAAATAATTTGTGACCACAACCTACGCTTGTGACCACCACCTCGCCACTCCCTCCCAACAGCATCACTGCCACCGTCGCCGCCAAAAAACCACCAGTCGTTGCACCGAACCACCACGACCTCGACCGTCGCCACCAACATCTCAACACCACCATCACTAAGATCCACTACCACTGTCTCCAAAAAAACAACATCCACCANCCACACTCCCTCCCCAAATTGCCAGCGACCAAAATACCCAAACCCCTCCCCATATTTTTCTGCAACAATGGCGGGTGCACCGTCTGAGAAGGCTGCTGCGAGTCTCGCCATAGCCGTTCGAAGCAGCCTTCTTTCGCGATGAAGAGATCGCGCAGAGAGTTAACGCGCAGCAGCCTTCTAAAGTGATGAAGAGATCGCGCACGACTGTGTTTGCCGTCTTTCGCGCCTGTCGCTGGTGGTGTACCTATCGTTGCCACGATCGTCGATTCTGGGTATGGTGTGGTGGTGGTTTCTCGCCGGACAGAAGGGAGATGAGATGAGATGAGATGAGAGGAGAGGAGAAAATGAAATTAGGGTTTGAAAATTGTGTAGATTTGATTTAAATAAAAATTAATTTAAAAATGATTAATTAAAACCTGATTTATGTATTATTAAAGTTGATTTTGGATTTTTAAAAATAGTAACTTAAAAATCTTTGTGGGTGTAATTTCCTCTTAACTTAAACCAAGATTGAATAGCAAGTCATATCTACCTTTATTAACATCTAATCACTAAATCAACGTGAACCAAGCCCTCGTTCGGCTCTCATTATTTGAAATTTTAATTGTTGAAATAATATTTTTTTTGAAATATGTGTAGTTAAATTTTTTTTAAAAAAAATTACGTGTAATATTATTTTATTGGAGAATATGCGATTGATAAGACGAGAAAAAAATAAATTGTAATTTTAATGGGGGAACTGGGCCAATACTTGATTCTTAACAAGAGTCAACATCTTTGATCAATCAATACTAATTATCTTTCTAAAAACTGAAAAAATAGCTTTCCATCACTGTAAAATAGAATTGTTTTCAAAAAAGGACACTGAAAAAGTAGCTTTTCATTTTGCCAAAGCTGCCCATAAATGGAATGATAAGGGTAAATTTCACTATTCCTCGCTAACCTTCGGGAAAAGTAGCAGACCTAAATTTGTCACGCGTTATCCTCACCTCAACCTTCGAGATATTAATGCAACTTACCCATAGGATAATACAGATATTAAATAACTGCAAACTCAAACACAGTCGAGATAACCTCTAGTCGAGTAATTCTACAAAAATGTCCTGCTCGACCCGTACAAACACAACATTTCGACTGTGGTCGAGCTCGCTTTAGCCAATAGATCAATTTATTTTCAAGTGTTCGTCTCAATTTAAAGGAAAAAGGAAAAGAAATCAACAAGTACTGGAGGCAGAAGACTAAGAGATATTCCTAAATTCATTTCAGTATCAATTTACATCCATCTGACTATATCTCTATGCATTATCTACACAGAGTGTTAGACAGTTAGCAAGAAAATTGCAGCAAATAGTTCCACATGGAAGAAGACTAAAATCCTCACTAAAGCTTTTTCTGTTCTACACCATCTCAGACTTTGAGATAAATATTTTGCTAAGCTGCAGTAACATATTTTGTCATGGAATGAAAGGAAAACTGAGGGAGGAAACAAAATGGTGATCTGCATACACCTCTTCCATGACGAGTGGCTAAAATGATGACTCCCCAAAGGGAATATTATGAATTGAGTGGTTGCAGGATCTCTCACAACCCTACTCTCTACAATCGACAAGTTAACAGCATAACCTTCGTTGCTGCAAAACAAAAGATTGGAATGCTTATGCTTTTTAGAAATGATTTGCAAGAAAAACATACAAATGCAATGCACTTGGGCATCATGAAACCAAACTGCAGCACAAACTACTTGTGTTTGATTTATTTCTTTTATGTAATGTGTCTGTATTTAACATGGCAAGTATAAATAGGAGTAGAGGTTTGAGATTTACACTGACTATTGACTATTGAATACTAAGTTATTGAGATTATCCTCTCCAATTCCTCTTGTTCTACTTCTCTTATCAAGTCTCCTCCTCTCTTGTTTCCCTCTTGTATTTTCTATATTGTGCTGCATCATCTTAACTTCTAAGAAGCCACCTCGGTGGGGGACAAAAAGGAAATAGAGAAAAAGAGGGAGAAGAGAGACGGATGCCAAAAGAGCTGCTTTAAGAAACATCTATGGTATGAACACAAGGCCTGACAGACCAGAAATACAGGAAACGTTTTTTATTGGCATGACTTACGCGAAATCTGGACTCCCGCATATTTTCTAAAAACTCTGCGATCTCAAGCTGCTTTGTAGCTGCAGCATGTAATACCTGCAACGAACTCAAGAGTAAATCGATTTCTCTACGTTTAAAGTTTCGAACAAATCATGTAAATACAACAGATAAGTTACCCTCTTCGTTTTTTCAAGGTCAAGTTCTACAGTCTTAACCCTGTCCAAAGATTGCTGTAGCATTTGCTCCTTCTCTAACGGAATTTCAGCAGGCTTTTTGTCGAGTTCTTCCAACAAACTTTCCAACCTCTGGAGTCGCTGTACACATGGAAGTGCCCTGTCTTCTTCACTTACAGCTTCAGCATCAAAAGTTGAGAGCCTGCAGTTTTCTGGTCCATCTTCCATTGCATTAGATGGATAAATGTCGGTATGTCTTCTCCAATATGCAAAGGGAAAATTTGGGGTCAATGCAAAAAGCTTGATCATGAAAGATACTAATGCTCTTGCCATATACAGGAAACTTTTCTTAACAATCTTCTCCTGGATGATGTGCAGCCAATAAAATACCAGAGTACCTAGAAGAAAGATCGAATCAGATGTGAACCAAATACGTGAAGTATGAGAGAGCTAAACAGTCACCAGATATGATTCCCAAATACAGGGATCTATACCAAATAATTTGGTTAAAGTGTAGAAAATTCAGCAAAGAAAATTATCTCCATAAATTGATACCAGAAAAAGGCCTTTACCCCGTCTAAATGCCGAGGCTACTCACATGCACAAACTTACTTTTCTTTTTCCTTTCCTGGGGAGGAGGGGGTTGGAGAGAGAGATTGGCGAAGAGAAGAATAATAATGTCACCAATACCTTCTAGATTTGTTCTCCCATCAGCTTTCACGTATCTTTCATTGTCAAATTTAAAAGACTGGTCCAGAAGGTTGGCAGTTCCTTGCTCGGAGTCACCATCATCATCAACTGGCCAAAGATGATCCTCACAATTATAGTAGATACATGGATCCAATGTTCTTTCCTGCATAAGTTGAATATCATCACTTGATGCATTGATGTGTAAACATGCCGTGGATAAAGAGGTGTGTGTGTTAAGTGCACTTGCTGAGAGAGACTCAAATGGAAGAACGAAGAAGCATAGTTATATAACACTGTAAAGAATATAAGTGTAGTTTGTGTAGCATAATAGGTTGGGAAGATAATCCCTGACAATTGATTATGCAATCAAATGGAGGGAAGAGAGAAGAATAGTTACATCACACAGTAAAGAATGTGTAGTATAATAGATTGGGAAGATAATTCTTGACAATT